TGTAAAGTTTTTGATATAAATTCATCTAAATTATATTCTCTTTTAATATTTATAAAATAGTTTTCAATAAAATGAATTATTTTATAATGTACTTCAATTGCTTCATCAAAATTTCTTTCAATGAAATATTGTTTAATAATATCATGTTTGTAAACATGAAAGACAAAATCAATTAAATTTGATTCAATAAAACCAGCATGTCAATAATGTTGACAAGTAAAATCTAATCAATTTTCATATCGTTATATCAGTTATTTCGTATTCAATGTTTCATAAATAATGATTCTTGTATTTAGATCGAATTTATTTGTAAAAAGCCGAATTAAATTTTATTGAACAATCGAAATAATTTTTATCATTGGATATTGTCGATGATTTTTGACAAGATTTATTAGTCTTTCATATGTAATAACAGTGGACTCGATATCGTTTTTAATTATTTGATAATATTTTCCTAATTTAGTATAACAATTAATTGTATGTTGATATAGATAATTATGTTCCTGAAAACAATTAATTGTCTTGTCTAAATATTCAAATGCTGATTGGAAATCTTTATTTTTCTCATATAAATGTGCTATATAACAATAATTATCTTCACCAACACAACAATTATTTGTATTTATATTTGTTATTAAACAATTTTTATACGATTCAATAATAATATCAGAATTCTTATCAATAAACCAAAGATTTTCATGACAAATTTTTAGCTTCGATCAATTTCTCTTGATCATTATATAAAGCAGCTAATTTCATATGACATAGATCATTTTCTTTTGCAGATATGATTCATGTTCGAATCGAGGATCAACCCATCTATCGTAAGCATTAAATGAAGAAAGCAAATTTTTTATACTTTCAAAAAGTCTTCCAGACGTCGAAGGTATTAAGAGAATCATGGTGCCGTTATTAGTGTAACGGGTGGTGCCGTCGGTGTTTCAATCGATGAAACTTCTATATGATTATTGGAAGTATACAGTAACGTTGAAATATCTTCTAAATTAACTGCTTTTATTGCTTGTTACTGTTTTTATGCATCAATTATACCTTTATAACCGATAGTCAGATTTTCCAAATCGTCTGGACACTATTGGAGGCATAATTAAATGAGTTTTGATAATATTCAATAGATCGATCGTGCGAATGTTGATAGAGTGTTGCAAGATGTTCATAACACTGTAAAGTATAAAGATAATATTGATGATTAGAAGCATATTGTTTACAATGATGTTTAACTTGTCGAAAATAATCAATTGACATTGTTCTACAATAAGTATTATTATATTGATGTGAACAAAAATCATATTGATGAGTAAATGATAGATATCTCGTGAGGACTGGTGTACGAGACTTTAACATACCGATTAATTCAAGATCAAGAAACCTTTTCCAATTGTTCCACATACGAGTTTGTTCTTTGGGACTTGTTATATTATCATGGGTTCCAGATTCAGCTGTAGTCATGCATGTATGACAATGAAAATTAGTCGTATCATTCATATCATACTCAAAAGCTTCCTTGTACATCTTTCATTCCAATTGAACATCTCCATTTTTCTGATGAATAAATGCTATATTAATTCATGATACATTTTTATAATTATCATACATGGACTTTGATAGGCGCCATTTTTTATTATATCATCAGTTGGTTTTGATAAATCGTACGCCTGTCTATAATATTCTAATGTTGTGGGATAATTCTTTAACTTTGAATGAGTTCCAGCAAGAGAATTTAAAGTAGTTATCGTCAATTCTTTGTTAAGTTTATTATCTTTACATAAAGATTTGGATCCGAAGTCAATTGCTAATTTATAATCTTCTCTCTTCAATGTAATCCAAGCTTTACTTGTTAAACGTGCTGTGTCCATAATAAATTCAAAATGATTGAGCAAAACTTTTGAATATGCATCAATTTTTGAATATGAAAATTTATTTGATAAGGAATGATCGATTAATAAATTATGGATTCGAATTAATTTTCCGTCGTTTGTTTTAGTTGATTTTTAAACTTGTTAATCTTTCATGATGGGAACATTTAAATCATTTTCATTAGTTAGTGTTAATTTAATAAGTGTTCCCATTGATTTATCGTTCTTTTTCTCCATCGAATATATCAATTTGTTTATATTCAATAATTTGATTAAGTTTAAAAAATGAACTAACCATAAAATAAAATCTCTTGCTCACATAATCTATGTATATGTTATGGCCGAAGTTGGAATCCAGCCCGATTCGGAATTCGTCCAGACGAAATTGGAATTCTAATTTCGTCTAGACGAAACTGGAATATATTTTTAGTGAGTCATACAGCTTAAAGAAATACCCACAATAGAACACAAGTGGGCCACGAATGATAGTGAGGGTGACCGAGGGTCTTGATAACGATGCAGGCGATCTCAATGGGGCTGACAGAAGTAGNGTATAAAAAAAGTGAAGGTCATGAATTGACTACATAGCAATTATAAGCAGAGAATTGTGTTGATGATTTTTTTTGCGAAAAAAAGAAGAAATTCCAAGTAAGATATTTAATTTCCTCTTGTCTATTCCATATTCTTATTATTATAAAGAAACTCTATCTTAAAATACGGCATGCGTCTAATTCGATTTCCTTTTAATGCTTATTCATAGTTTTTTTTTTTCATTTGTAAAGGAATATTCTTCACTCTTTCCTTTCTTTATTTTTTGTATGTCTTATTTTAGATGCAAAAGCTTCAAAAAAGAATCAATAACAGAAAGAAAATCTAGACAAACGATCGCAGGATTGTTGCAACAAATCAACACTCTTCAAGTTCCTCTATACCGTCTCGTTTTTTCCCTTTTGGCTGTTCTTGACAAGTAATGTAAATAAAAAAAACCATGAACAAGAGACAGAAAAAAATGTTGAAGAAAGAACAACGCAATTAGAATGTTTAAAAAAAAAGGGCAAAGATTTTCTTTGATGTTTTTAAATTCTGGTCGAATCGAACACACAATTCATTTTCTCATCATACATAGGAAGTCGAACATTATGTAAGTAAGAGTCATTTTTTTTAGATGTTATTAATTTTACAAGGCTTCAAACTATTTTATAAATCTCAATGCGTTTTTCATCAGACAGATAATCAATTTCGTCTATCTTAATAATTAAGTATGAATTATAGTTGAAAAGAAAAAATCGTCATGAAGTATACAAATTGATTTTTTTGTTTGATCGAAAATCAAGATAGGCCGTCAACGTTGCCTATGACAAACTGTTAAAATCACATTAAAAAAAACTGACGATATGCTAACACCTATGTTCTCGCGTACTTATAGTGTCTCACTAGCAAACTAACAATGAGATGAAATATCACGTTTTTCTTTTTATTTCATTCATGTAAAATATCTACTACCAACTGATGTATGCACTTACTATATGCGTAATGTACTATTTTTAATTACTGAGTCACATGTATGACGAAACAGAAGAAAAAATCACTCAAGCAGAACACAATTTCATAGCCTGTATATCTCATCAAAGATTCATCAATGAATGTTAAGTAGAACTAAATTCATCAGTTCATATTCTTTACTTTTTTTTTCGACGTGTAAGAAATATGAGAATAAAGTATTAGATACATTAAACATATTGCTGACAGCCTTTTATTTTCTCTTTTTTTTTTTTTTTTGAGAAGCGTAGAAAACGACTTAGCTATTCTTTTAGCATTTTGATGTTAAAGTAATAATTAGAACTTTATCAAGAAAATATATTAGTAATGTTTATATAAGAATGTCTGTCCGACAAATAACTACGTAGTAAGTGCTAAATTATCTTTCAATAGAAATGTTGAAATGTGTAAAAAAAAAAAATTTCTTTTTTATAATAGACAAAGTGAAATCTATTTAAAGAATTCTTTTTGAATACACGCAATATGTTCAAAATCTATTAATATCTTTTTTTTTATTCATTGACACATAAGAACAAAATAAGTGTTTCTAAAAAAAAATATTTTTTAAGAAAAATCCTTTATTACTAACACATTTTCTCTCTATTTTTTCTTTTCCTTGAAAATAATGAGTTTGATTTAATCTTTTATTTATTTGTCAGAAACATTTTGCAGAAATTTATTTTTTATTTTATTTTTATAGAAAATCTCATTTGTGTTCATTATGTCGATCGATTCGGCATCAAAATCAATTCATTGTAAAAAAACATTAAAATCGTCATTATCTCAAGCAGATAGTTATCCATATTCCAGACATTCATTAAAAGATTGTAATAATAGATCGTTTTCAAAAAGTCGAACAATGTCAATTTCTGAAGAAGCATCTGGTGATTTACTTACAGATCTATCATCATTACCATATAATTCATACAAACAAACAAATAATAAATGTAACAGAAGATTTAGTGAATTAAAACCACCTTTACTACAACAAACTCAAGGAATAAATCCTGAACGACGTAATTCAATTCCTCAAATTAATTTAGGTTTTTTACTTCCATATCCTTTTCGTTCGAAAAAGCATCAACATAAAAATACAATAAAGTAAGTTAGTATTAGTGTGGGTATGAAAAGCAGATGATGATAAATAATGATAAGGATGTCGTTGTTAAAACAACGTCATTTTCATCTGAAAACTAACAATTCTTTCTCTCGTTTTTTTTTTTTCTCTTATCAGTAACTAAGAGTCAGATGCAGTTGATTATTGTGCTTTGTTACTAACTTATGTGTATGTGTGTGTTTGTGTGTGCCTAGGCTCTTGCTCATTATTGTCTGTGTTACTATAAAGAATTTTAATTTCTAGAGACGATACAAACACAAGTGTTAATACTCTTACCAATACTTATTCAATACCATACAACGATATGATGACAATGAAAACTGAACAACCTTTTTCATCAGTAAGTAAAATGTTTTGTCATGCTCGATAGACAAATTTTTTTGTCTCTTTATTTATTACGCAATATGATTCAAATAGATAATATTATATGACGTATAGATTATATATATATATAAGAGAGATGAATGTAGAATAAAACTAAAGTTCACTTAGCCCTTAAAAAAAAAACATGTTAGTTACAACAATTATATCTGCTGTATCATTTCGTCGTAAAAAAATTAACAATAATTTCGATGATGTATGTTTTAATTCAAATCATCAATTAGCAGTAAGAACAAAAATTGTTTTTTTTTTTTTTTATCATTCAAATTTTTCTAACAAAAAATAAATCAATAACTATTTGACTTAAATAACAAACAGCTCTTTCAACAAAGTTACCCCTTTTATAAAAACGATACAATATTTAATTTACACGTCCCTTCTCTGTTTTTTTTTTTTTGTTTTTCTTTCTTATCCTTTCTCAATGCGCATTGTTGATATGAAATAGAAAATAATAAAAAAAAGAAGATTACTTTGTCTATCATGTCATTTGATCCGTACGATTGCTTTCATTGAAAATGTCAATAATACAAAAAATATTCAGCGTACAGGAACAACAAGTATTCAACGAAATGTAATAATAAGATTTTTTTTTTGGTTTTTTTTTTTTAATTAAATAGAAATCATTCACTATACCAACCAATAATTCACGATCAAGTTTATCAATTAGTAATGATCGTTTATCATCATCTTTCTATGAAGATTCAACATCATCAAGATCTTCTATGTCATCTCTATTTACATTAGATTCAAATCAATATGAACCACGATCGGCTGAAACACTTACATTAGAATTACATACACCTTTATGCATCGCAGAAATTTATCGTGAACTTTTTTTTGAAAGCGTAAGTTAATTTGCGACATTCAAAAAAAAAGGAAACGGAACACAATTTTATATGAAATTTTTTTTTTTAAATTAGTTTCATATAAATTATTGCGGTGAATTTGAACAAGAAGGTCCATTTATTGCATCACTACGATATTTTTATAACAAACCAATTTTATCAGATAATACATCACATTCAATAGACACCAATACAGATTGTCAAGCTCGAGCTATTATTCGGTATGTTTATATGACATTGAAATAAACGAGATAAATATCATTGTATTGAATGATTTTGCTAAGAGAATAACATGATATGATGAAGGAAAAAGAGAATATTTAGTTTAATAATTAAACTTATATAAAAATTAATGATCTACTTGAGTGAGTTCGAAATAGAATAATAAGTATAGAGTTGAAAAAAATAAAAATAACTTTCATAAAATTCATCAGACTTTTTATTTTAATAAACATATAAAGAATTTTAATTAGAAATGTATGAGAAGAAAGTTTTTGAGATTGACATCAAAGATTATAATTTAGATATTCTACGATTTCAAAGTACATTATTTATAACAAGAAAAAAAAAAAAGAGAATCATGATAGAAATTCTTTTTTTAAACAAAAGTATGACATCCATTGATTAACTTAACAAAAATTTAATAGTTTTGAAATCTTATTATTCAAGGAGAAATTTTTAATTGAGTAGTTTGTTGTAGATGGAAAGCAGATTTGAAGTCAACAACTTGATTGATGATAATTAACTAGTTCTTTTTTGACAGAAAATATATAATAGGATTAAATTTATATCGTGCTGAGCTTTTTTCTTTTTCTAAGATTATCTTTTTTATAAGAACTAGATAATTAAAATATGTTTGAAAATTTATCTGACTTTGTCATCAAATTATCAAAACAATAAGAATAACGTTAAGAAAAAAAACAAACTACTAACAACATGTCGAGTCAAGGTTTTATTTATCCAAGTTTTGGCCTTGACAAAATAATTTAATAATCATGTTCGATATAATCTAAAACATTATGAAAGTTATTTAAGTACATTTTGTTTTATATTGTGAAATAGTAAAATAAAAACTTGAACTAAATATTTAGATCGATGTTCTATATATCTACATATGAGAGAGATAATCTCATCAGTCACAATTTTGACTTTTTTGACTGTAATAAAAATGATAAATCAGAGTTTGAAGATTAACAAACTTTTAAAACATTGTGAATTTAATTTTTTTTTTGTTTTGATTGTCTTGAAATATATCTTTTCAAATATTAATGAATTGTTTTTTTTTTTGCAAGCATTCCAAGTCGTAATTATGATGTATCTGTAATGGTTGATGGAACAAATGAAGATAATATTCTTCAAGTATTATTTAATAAAGCAAACTTATCAGCAATACATACATGTAAAACTATTGGTGATCCAAAAGTGAGTAGGTGAGATGAATATATTTAAATAATATTACTAAATCATATTTTATTTTAATAATTAATAGGCAAATGAAAAAATTTATCTATTTGATAAATCAAATGATGAAAAACAAAATTTTAAAATTGGTCTTATTTATCAAGGTTTAGAACAAACAAATGAATATGATATGTTTAGTAATGATAATTTAACAGATGATCTGTCAAATTTTTTAAATCTATTAGCCGAGTCTGTACGTTTAAAAGGTTTTAATAAATTTCGTGGTGATCTTGATATAAGAGATGATTTACATGGAGAACATTCATATTATACTAAATATAAAAATCATGAAATTATGTTTAATATAGCACCAATAATACCATCAAAAAAAGCAAATGGACAATGCATTGAACGAAAAAGTCTTGTAGGAAATGCATTTGTTTGTATTGTTTTTCAAGAACAAGATGCAGAATTTACACCCGATTTTATTTCGGGAAAAGTAACACAAATCTATATAACAGTGCAACCTTGTACGATTTATGAAAATCGTTATTATAAAGTAAAGAAAAATAATTTTTTTTTGTCTTTTTTTTTAATATAATTTTTTTATAGATTGCTGTTTGGCATCGTAACGATTTTACATCAATAATTGATCCACCCGGTGGAATATATCAATGTGATCAATCATTTCGTGATTATTTTCTTACATTATTACTTAATTCAATAAATGCTGCTATTGAATCACCAAGTCTACGTTTTCGTGTAGTTGAACAAAGACAACGAATAAAACAAGAAGAACTTAAGAAACTTTCACAAAGCTTATGTATTGCACAAGTTTTAGATACAACATCTGAAGTTGAAAATATAAACTCTCATGTAGCTCAACAATCAAATTCACGAAGTGATAGTATTATCAGTGCACCACAACCAACAAATGAGAGTACTAATTCAGGTTCTGGTCGTGTATCACCTGTGGTTACAAAAAAAAGAGCTTTATCGAAAATATTCAATGTATTTACTAGTCGATCAGGTTCTATATCATCTACATCACCATCTTCATCTATACCTTCAAATTTAGCAACCTCTAATACATCACTTGTTAATTCAACTTCAAACGAAATAAACACAACACAAGGTCGAACACTTCAAACATTGAGTAAAGAACCAGATAAACGACGATCATCTGTAGTATGTATTATCATTCGATTAAACTTAGTCATTATGAATCATCTTTTATTTTTCTAGAAAAATCGTTTAGCGCCAGTACCACCAGCTCTATCTCATTTAGCTGCTGCACCATCACAAATTATCATATCTGCTCAACCATCAACTCCAACTGTTCTATTACCATATTCATTTGATTCAAACAATGAAAAGTAAGAAAAACTTGCTGATTTATAACGATTAACCATTTAAAAAAGTACAATGCTGGCGGTTATTTTCTTGAATAACTGTTGCTAGAAACAATGAAGAGAGCCAGGAGTTTTTGCCATTCAAGAGAAAATATTTGTGAACCATCGAACTAAATCGAAATTTAATTGATCAAACATGATCTAATCAGATGAGTTCCCAGCGAAGATTTTCAAAAAGAGATTCTGAAATCATTTCTCATTAGATTTGAACATCTAATGTAAACAATTGGTAGTGAAAAGTCTTTTCTTTTGATCTACATAAAACTGCAACTTCGTAGCTACTTTCATTCAGGAATTACAAGAGCTTTCCTTAGACCTTGCCGAATTTTAGCCTTGAAAACAAAGTTGATTCGGGATACTATGAACTGAACCGATTTCATATTTGTTTGGAAGACTCCAAAAGAGCTCCGAGCATGAATAATTCATCCCACTAAGTCAAATGGTGATGTTTGTTTTCAGCTTCAAAACGACCTAAAATCACTATTTGAACCAGAGTTGTGCGGTCCACGAGTTTCAAACCGCAGGCTACGTGGCGGCGGGTGAACTGGCGAAGAACAAATTTTCGTATCTATTCGGGATCGACGGGGTACGAGTATTGTTCGACGTGCGGCCGATTCGATCGGTGAGATTGTAAATAAAAATATGCAGGCTTCGTGCGGAGCGGGCATAGATGTACACAGGTTCGGGCGGGTACAGAATTTTTTCGGGACACGATGAAGGATCGTCAACACTTATCGGTGTATGTCGTTATTCTACATACGCTGTAAGAAGCATATATTAATTGGTTCATTATGTCTAATCTATTAGCTGCAAGCTCTCTTGTTCTTTGTTCCTATCTTTCTTAGACTTCAAACAGGCTAGATAAATTAAAAGTGAATTAAGGAAGGTGATTGACGTAAAATGTAAAACAGACTTAAGCCATCGTTTTGAATGACTTAATTTTTACTGCGTCAATTGTAGAGTAGGTTGATTGAACAATGAAATATATATATATATAAAGAGATGAAGGGTGGCGGTATCGCTCGACAGAGTTAATTATTATAAAATAATACACTAGATTTGCTAAATCGTTCAAAGATTACGAGTTTCTAAAGCGTCTCCGAGCAAATAAAAAATAGTAAAAATTTTTGACTGCTCGAAAGTACACCGTATTTATTCATTTTCACTACATTATGCAGGATATTCACAATCTTGATTAGTGGATTAGTGATTGAAGGTGTTCGCATACAAAAATAAAACGAAGATAATAGTGTTTCATTTCTATAGCCTATAGAACCTTATCTTTTCTCATATTGAACTTCGATCATTGATTCGCATTAACAAAACGAAAGATCAATAAAATTCATTTGATTTATAGAATTAAAATTTGGAATTTGTTCTCTCTTTAATCAATAACAATGATCGAATTGCATGATTTATTATTTGATGAATTGTTTAATACTATGATGTCATCAGGTGTCTCTCGTTTATCGACTCATTCAAAGAGTCACCTATAACCTTTGCATCAGATTTTTTTGTAATAAGTTGATCAATTATGTAGAATAAATCGCTGAAAATAAACTAAATGATAAATAGAAACTTTTTTCGAGTTTCACGGGGGGCGAAGCGGAGCTCATCGAAAAATCGACGGGTTGAACGGGGCGATACGGAAAGCTTGCCTAAACGGGGACGGGAAATACTCAGAAAAATCATCCACGAGGATCGGCAAGGCGGGTTGACGAGTGACGAAGAACGGGTCAGGTGGAGCATCAAAATTCGATGCCCTGCACACATCTGATTTTAAAATTTTCAAAACTTCAAATTTTATGTCGCAAAGGGAAATTTTAAAATTTCAAAAATACTGAAATAGTAGTCTCAGATCACTTTGCAACTGAAAACAAACATCACTATTTAACTTAGTATGATGAATTATCTATGTCAAGAGTTCTTTTTGAAGCCTTCAATGATCAATTCACTGAAATCGGTGGATCTCAAAAAATCCTTGTAACTCTTGAACGAAAGTGTCAATGAAGTTGAGATTTATGTGGACCGAATGAGAAATGAATTCGGAGTCTCGTTTTGAAAATCTTCACTAAGAACTCACCTTATTAATCAATCGCTGACAAATCAGATTTCGACTTATTTCGATGACTCTGGGCTCTCCTCATGGTTTCTATCAAAAGTCATTAAAAAACCAACCACTGAAATTCTTTTTTTGAAATGAATAATGATTTTTCTAACCAAATTATGCAATCATTTAGTTTAACACCACAAAATAATCTTTTAAATCCAACTGCATTGGAAGAAATCGTACGTAGTCGATCCAATTCGTCGCCAGGAGATAGTACAAATTCGACGACCAAGTAAGTTAATATTCATTTTATCATTATTAATTATTTGTATATATATATACATATAACAATAGACTCTTTGAAGCTTATGTAATAAGAGCAGTAAAAGAAATATGGTAGATATAAAACCTCTGTGTGTGTGTGTGTGTGTGGATTTTTAACTTCTTTTCAACTTAAATATTGATTATGAAATATTAAGTAATCAAATAAACTCTCATTTTAGAACTTATTCATCAACTGTATCAAAAATAAATGAAGAAACCGATAGTACAAATAGTTCAATATACGAAGATTATGAAGATGAATTAAGTGAAGATGAAAAAGTTAAACATCGTTCAACACTAACTGAACCTCCACTAATATTACCATCAAATATAAATTCATAATTTTGTTTTTTGTTCTATTTGGTTTGTTTTTACTCACTTTTCTTTTCTTTTTCTTGTTTTGTTCAATTTCCGGTGACATCACTTTTCTCAACTCGTGATGATGCTCAATAAAATATATATATCTTTTAAAATTCAATTTCTATTCTTGGAATTATCTTTTGATGTTTTATCGTTCGATCTCTTGTTTTTTTTTCTTTATGAAGAACTAATTATTTGTTGTTATTATTCATCGAACGATGAGTTTTTTTTTCCTTTTGCTTGTGTCTTTCGAAATCTGTGCAATGGGTGTGTCCTTTTCCTTCTTTCCTTTTACGTAACGTACATATATACATATATATATTATACTTTTAAAAAATGCATTATTATTCACTGTTTATGAAAAATAAAAGAAATGATTAATTTGCGTTTATATTCAATTTTATTATGAAAAAGAAAAGAAAATTTTGAATTAGTTTGAAAATAAAATTGCGAATGTTAATCATTGTTTCAATTGATGTTTGATAGTATAGTGTCAGATATTAATCCTACTTGCATTTTATTTCTGTCTCTATATCCAGCTTCAATCATATTTTCTTTGCAACAATGTAATGTCAGATATAGGATGATAATATGGAGTGAAAAATGCAATAAATGATGAACAAAGAAAGAAAAAAAACAGAAGCAAAGAGAACACGCAATATACAGTGCGTTTGATAATTCACTGACCAAAAAGAAAATTGAATATCTTCATTACGGCTCGAGCAAAACGAGCTGATATTTTTGTCAATGATAGAGACATGTTCAAAGTTTATATCTATAAAGACATGCCTAGAGAGATCCTTTTTTATGTATTACTATTGACCTCAACACAAGAATTTTACTTTTTTACAGATAGAGAAAAAAACAATACACATAACAAAGGATCTCTCTAGGCTTGTCTTTACGAATATAAAGTTTGGACGTACCTCTATCATTGATAAAAAAATCAGTTTGTTTGCCTGAGCCGTAATGGAGATATTCATTTGTTTTTTTGGCAAAATGACTTTTGCCCCACTCCGTATATTGGTTTTTCTCCTATCTGTGAAAAAGTAAAATTCTTGTGTTGAGGCCAATAGTAATACATAAAAAAGGATCTCTCTAGGCATGTCTTTATAGATATAAACTTTGAACATGTCTCTATCATTGACAAAAATATCAGCTCGTTTTGCTCGAGCCGTAATGAAGATATTCAATTTTCTTTTTGGTCAGTGAATTATCAAACGCACTGTATATGACATGTAATGAAAATCCATCATGCATGACTAAGAAGAATAGTAAAGAGGAAGAGTAAATGTGCATATGTACGATCATAGATATAACGAGAAAAATCCTTATGACTGCATCTGAATAAGATGCCGCTCATAATCATCGCATTCAATTTCATAATTGTGTATTCAAAAAGTGAGTACACTACTAAAATCGGTCAGTGTGTCCGTCCGTTTATTCGATAACTCTTCACAATTATATTCGATTGAGCTGAAATTTTGTGCACAGAATTGTCTCATCAATATCTAGGTCGAGTTCGAAGATGAGAAGGATCCGTCAAGAAATGGCTGAGTTATCGAAAAAATTGTCATTTTTGANTAAGAAGAAAAGGCTGAAAACTAAGCTGAAACCGAAATAAAACCGAAACATAGAATTGGTAATCAATGATTCGAATCAATGATAATCAATCATATTTTTTGATTTTCGATTTCATTATCGATCTTTCTTATTACCCATAGCAATCTTAGTTAATGTAATACTTCGAATGCATGTATGAAGGTACGTGACTGCAAATAAGCATCATACACGTACATAGACTTATTTTATTTCATCCAGAAGCTTCTCCTTTAAGTTAAGGGAATAAAGTACTGAAAAGATCTCGGCCCAAGCTAACCACTTCCTGTACTGTTTTCAGCGATTTTGAGAGATTTTGAAAGATTTTAAAAGATTTTGAAAGATTTTGGACGCCAAAATCTGCTTTTCCCCCCCTGGTGTGGGGTGAAGGATGTGGGTGTGGGTGTGGGTGTGGGGTGAAGGTTGTGGGTGTGGGTGTGGGGTGAAGGTTGTGGATGTGGGTGTGGGGTGAAGGTTGTGGGTGTGGGTGTGGGGTGTCGGTGTGGTGTGCGTGTGTGTGGGGGTGTGGATGTGGTTTTTCTTTCCACATACGCCGACATCCACACCCACACCCACACCCACCCACACCCTTTTCGCTGTGAACGCTGTTCCATCCAAACAAGGAAATTTTGTTTCTCTTCTCAATTTATTATACTGAGGAATAAATTGGGTTTTGTGTCTTCAGTCTGATGATTCTGTGTCTCATAAAGTCGCAAATGCTTTGATTGGTTAACCAAAAAGAATAGAGAATAATTTTCTTTATTCTAAGAGCTATGATATATATTGGAGAAGTTTGGATGCTTTTACAACCATGCTTTAATCATACGATGAATTCCGAATGCTCGGCAAAAGAATTCTAGAGAATAAGAACTCAAAGTCGAATTACCTGTAACTTGCGCAAAATCAATCAATAATTGAAGAAAATAATGTTGAAATTCTACACTAGCTAAAGACGCACACAAATTTCGACAATGTAGGTTTTCAATCAACCATGCTTGATCTTGTCCATTGAGACGGTAACCTAAGGGTGGATAAACATATGGTACTAATTTGACTTGTTTCGTTGCCGCATAATCTAATAGATATTGAACTGTTGGTGGTATCGGATCACGATAAGGTTTCCATTGTTCTAATCGAATTTTTTCGCCTAAACTCATCCACAGCACACTCTCCCATCTCCAATCATCAGTACCCTGATCACGTCGTGATACATTGGAATTCGATGGTGCAAAAGTAATGCTTGTTATACCAAGTTGTGCACATCGATTGATCAAGCGTTTATACTCTTCAACACCGTGTTCAGTCGATATATTGATTTGATAATCATTATTATCCCGACCGACAACATGTTTAAGTGATTGATTATGTTGTGGTACAGTAAAAAAGAATAATGTATCATTGACATAGGCTTGTCGTTCAGCATAATTAATATCATTCGTATGCCAATAGGGAGATAATTGATAGAAACCGATGAGAAAACCTTCACTCATATAGGATGTTTCAATACCGGCATTGTATGAACTTGTCACTGTTTGATTATTCGATGTAATAGAATAGAGACCAAATGGATGTTGCCATGTGGCAAAAAGTCCCAAGGATGTTGAATCAGTACGTAAAAAACTCGTATGCTGTCTATTTGTATCTTGTTGATTTAATATGATTGAGGCCGATGAAATATTCATGTTGGTAATAGTAAAAGTTGTTTCTACAGATGTTATTGTTTTATTATCATTATTTTTGAAATCGAGTTGTTTTTGTACAAACTGCCATCAAGATCGGAGTGTGTAAATCGTTGCTAACTGGTAGTTCGTATTGTTTGAACATGAATAGCTAAATGTAATAGAGTCTAAATCTCGTATATAATACAAAAGTTTTGAACAATTAAGACGAACATTATTGATAAATAGTGAACTCGTTTCATTCACAATCATAATCAAGGAAGACTGATAAGTAAAAGATAATATTTGGCCAGTGAATGAATCAAATTGAACCAATCAATATTCGTTCGATAATGAAAATTGACTTTGACGATGAAGATGAATAGTCATCATTGCCGAATAAATGACAAGCAAAAGTACAAAACCAAATTTGACATATGATATCGAATGAATTTTCGAATGGTTATCAATTATTTTTCTCTTGATTTTTTTCGGCTGAACTATAGATGATATTTCCGAGCATATTTAACATGAGTATTCCAATTGTCAAATTCAAAATTTTATCTAGAATGAGACAACATAAAAATTATCATGATTACTATAATCCAGTGAGTTTTACAGCATTCATTGGTTCCTCGATTTTGTCTCAATATTATCTTAATGACTTACTTTTTATATATTAAATTGCATATACAGAAAAAAAGAACTTCATTACTGCATGTTCTTTCTGCATCGTAGTTGAAAGCGTAGAGTGTATAAGAAAAAAATTGCTGTTTTCGTTGAAAAAAAAGAATCAAGCAATTGAAGCCTAGAAACATACCAAATATCTCAAGTGGTTTGTGTCACATGCTGCAAACGACCGGAGAGCGTAAGAGACTGAAGATTTGTTTACACTTTCTTTTTTCATCCTTTGTCTCCCTGTAAGAGACGCTACCTATGGTAACTGTATCGTACGTTTCTATGAAATAGAATAGCTTCAAAGGAATCATTAAAGAAGCATGAAAACCTACCGAACCACAATAGTGTCGCTTGGAGAACAGTCATAATTGTGCCAACACAAAAGAAAGAAATACTGTAATTAATTGAAAAAATTTTTTATGCATTTTTTATTAATCCATTGCAAGAGAATGTTAAGTGATGGTATTATTTCCATGTTCATTTTTATGAACAACAACAACCACGAAAACTATCGACCATTATCGTTTTATGGTGACGAAGAAAATACGCCTATTTTGGAGCTTAACAAATTATTGGTTACATCGGGGTCGTAACGCTCTATCGTTAATTAAAAAACAATTTAATAGAAAAATTTCGTAGGAAAACAAATGAGAACTGATCTCAACTTTTTTCCATATTATTACAAAGCTTTTACATTGGTTTCAACAAGTTTTCATTCAACAAAAGAAATCATCACAAGCTGAACAGACAGCAGATTGTTTTTGAATTACAATAAAACCTCTCTATGTGGACACTTCCTCATTCTGAGTAGTGAGCGCCTATTCCTAGTTCCGTGGGTTATAAAACAAACTCCCCCATGCGAGAAATCTATGTATAAGAAGGAGATGAACTAAAGATGGATATTAAAAAAGAAAAAAATGCTTAGGCAGTAACAACAGTTCTCAGTGAAATATCTCGTCATTTTGTGTTGATGACATAAAAATTATTTTAAGATGCAATATTTGTCAAAAAGACATGAAATTTTAAACTGTCATAAGCTATCACTCGAATGTAATTGAACAGACCATTTATCTATGGAATTATGTATAACATGATAATATTCACATTTTTCTTTTTTCAAAATGCATTCAGTCAAAACTGCAAACAGCTCTCAGACATTTCTTTAGCTGGTATTCCATTTTGTATGCAGAAGAAATTTGCAACTTAGATTTTCTTTAGGAAAAGCGTGTTTTCTCCTCAAAAAAATTTGTTGCAAATTTCTTCTGCATAGACGATGGAACACTAGCTAAAGGATTATCAGTTTCTGGTATCTTTTGCGTAAAATATTAAGATATCGTCTTTCTAGAGAAATTGATTTTCTATGTATAACTACTTCTATTAAATACATTTGTAGTGAAAGAAGAGTTTATTTGATAGATATTTTCAAAAGAAAATGGAACTGATTCTATTTCTGTCGTCTATTGATTATCGCATTCATTTGTTTAAATACAGTTCTATTATAATAAATAGAAGTTTTTCATTGACTAATAAGATTCTAATTAATAAAGAAATCCAAATTATAATTGGCAATATTGGCGACTAATTATGATTTTCTTCATGTACTGTAAAAATACTATTGTTGGAGGCCACAATTATCCTACTATGGATTAATCCTTGCACAAGTTATTGTAGATTAGTTTTTGAGATCACTCATCCGATATTATACTTACTCACTATAGTACGTATTTGCTGTTTCAGTTTATTGTTTTTAGATATGTTTTCAACACAGGCAATATGTTGATAATGAGTATCGTTCCAGGCTGACAACACTAGCCAAAAGTCATCACTTGATTATAAGTACCATGAAAGTCGAGTTTTTGCTTTGATATGATAACCTACCTTGACGTATAAAAAGAAGTGATTCAGTATGCTATTGTATTAGAACTTAGTTTCAATTTATCATACATTCTTGTCAAAAACAAATCGGCAATCGAGGGTGTATTAATTAAGTATCAGTACTAGTGGGTTTTAAATTTCATAGGAGTATTTATTTTTGCTAGAGGAAAAGAAGTCGGTAAGAATCCACAGTGTGACACAAGAGGCAGTTTTTTTATAATTTTTGAATTAAATTTTTATTATTAAAATTTTAAAAACGTTATCCAGTGTCATAGTCTATTTAATTAAGAAAAATATGCTGTCTAAGATAATTCGAGTCCGACTGTTGATATACGTGCTGATTTTTTTTTTGAACGGCAAAGCAACATTTCACCCTAATCAATACACATCTTTCAAACACACTCGCACCCATATCCTTAAGATTCCACAAGCACATTTGTAGCAAATACCTATAATCGGCTTCATGAAACATGAGGGTGGTGTGGGTGTGGATGACGGGAAGAAGAACATCCGCACTCACCCTTAAAGAGTTAAATAACTTTTTTTCACAGTTTGAATAAATAAATAAAATATATTTCCATGTTTTTTTTATTATTTTCTTTTTGAACTGCCATTCTACCAAAAATATAGTTTCTTATGATCAAATAAAGAATATCTTCATCTCCTTTAGTATTCTAACGACTCTCAATATCATTAAAATAACATTTTTTTATAGAATTCTATTACTTTTTTTCATTATAATTTTCTATGTAAATGTTTTATGATATAAATTAACAAATGAATAAACAGTTTGCTATTTTTTGTCGAATTACATTACTAAAATGAAATTCTAAATTTCGTCGAATATAGGAGACAAACAATCATCTTTTATCATTTATTGACACAACAGGTAGACAGATTAAGACACTAGATGACATACTCTTATCAATGGTAATAACCAACATTTTCTTTACAAAATAATGTTTCCTGTTCATCAGTCGATTACTCATAGAAAAAATAGCTTATAATAAAATTCCTAGAAGAGTCTTCATTTACTTGGCATTGATCATCTTGATTCTCTTGAAGACAAAAACGTTTTATTTTTTTTCGATGGCAAAAGTTTATAAAAAAATACAGGTAAAATTTTAGTCGAGAAATATCAAGAATCAAATTTTAGTAAATATTTTCGCTCTTCTCGCATATATTTTCTTCAAACATGTCAAATTTAGAACAATAATATTCATTGCCATTTGGTTGAGATAGAAAAAAAATATTTGATTTTTCTCGTTAATAAATCAACGATTTTAATTTATTATAATTATATTCTTGCAGAAGTTACTTACAAGCTATGAAGATTGGCCTAAGGCAATTATAATAGAACAAACATTTAGTGACACGGTGTTCATCATTCGTGGCAAAGATAGAGGAAGACCAGCATGGCATTATCTTATGGTTCCTGTTAACAAACTTGCTGATATAAAGGCTCAACAATCAGGTACAAATATCGATGTCACAAAATTTGGTCGCTTGATGGAATATCTTAATAATCGAGATAAAGTTATGCCGTTGTCTGGATGGGGAACTGATCCACCCGAAATACTTCAAACATGGATTGACGAGCATTATAGTAAGAAAAAGTCTATTTTTTAGAATTTATCTACGTTATGAAGCGAATTAAGTAACAAGAAAAAAACGATAGTTAAAGTTTTCTATATCAATTATTTTTTTCACTAATACGTAAGACTTTAAAAGATTAATTATTTAATGATGAGATGTTTCACCAATATCTTAATTAGTTATGCATCATTCTGATATGAAATCTTCCAAGTTAACACAAAAATAGGATGCTAAATCGGAATATTCTAACAAGATTAAATAATAAAAGAACTTTCATATAGACCTAAATAAATCTAACAGATTTTGAAAAAACTTTTCTATGTTTGTGAACATTAATTTTGATTAATTGAAAGCTAAATCACTCAATTGACTTATTAGTAAAATAATTAGAATATTTTGAAGTGGACAATTGAATATACGGTTAATTTTTTCATGTAGGTTTAACTTCTAGTATTGATGAAAACATCAGCTTGATGTACACACGATGATATTCGACTATGTACAATGCAACGTGCCATACCACAACAGAAAATGGGTCTTAACAGCTTTTATTTTGCATCAAAACGATTCCATTACATCACATTAACTGAAGATTGGCCATTGAGTTTAGCTCTTCGAGCAGGAATAAAATCCTATGATCGAATCATCTTTTTCAATGGTGTTAATATTGAGAATGACACTTTTGATCAGTTCATTCATCGCATTGATATTGAACGACATCTTCCAGTTCAAATGCTTGTCTGTAGTCCAGCCACATATGAACACTATAAAGCTAATAAAAAGCCTTTTCATTGCGATCTTCCAACTATTCAACGTTTAAAACCTGTATATGCAACATCAAGTAATAAAACTGCATCTAAACATCACTTATAGTCTAGTGATTATTTCAATTATCGATTTAATTGTAGCATCGAATTCTCATACAGATACACCAGTAGTTTCTGTTGATAATCAGAGCTTTTGTGCTGTCCTATGGGAAAACAGTAGCATCGTTTCTACGATACCTCAATCAATAATTTTCAAATCACCTGAATTTACTAATGTGAAGGACGTCTGCTTTATCAAAACAAAAGAACAATGTCGAAAAGGACAAATTATTTTTAAAGGTTTGTTATTATTCTATATTGAATTATTGGACAAGAATTTCATTCCTTTTTAGGTTCACGAAGTGATTGTAATAAGCTGAAGATGCCTTCGATTCCTGACGGAATCGATAATATTTTCAGTACTTTGGCTGATTTTTTCATCAGAAAACCGTTAAATACCTTGAGTATAACTACAAATTCTAGGCCTAGTTTTACTGATGGCAAGACTTTATCTTCATTAAATGCCACCGTCGCATTATCTTTACAAAAAACATCTCAGGTATACATTATATAGATGAGTTGCTGATTTCATAATGATTCTATTTATTTATACCAACTTCCAACGGTATAATCACAGAAGAAAAGAGCGAAATTTGAATTTTTGTATTTTATATAATGAGCAATGAAAACCAGACATTATAACAGAACATTTATTTATTTTAGAAGGTGGAATCCAATACAATACAAAACAATATAACCGTTCAGAAAGCAAATGATAACAATAAAGTGAGGCAAAATACTGATGCTTGTCAACACACTAAAGACCGTAAGTTACAACTACAAGCCATAATCACCAAAGAACTAAAGCCTTTACGTAGATAAAAGCCTATGAAAATATCTCCAACTAATAAAGTTCACTCATTTTTCACCATAAACTGAACAAGTAAATGAAGCTATCGTCTAACATTATGATTCGAATAGTCTTCTGCACAGATACAAACCTTTGCAATCAGACTCAAACTGAAACTAATCAACATCCCACAGATACTTTCACAGTCATAGTAAAGTTTTCAAAATTTTATTGTATACAGAAAAAAGTATACTATTCAGTTTCTTGCATAAATAGGAAGAAAGAGAAAAGAGATCATCTCGAATTTCACAAAAAAGCAAATGAAAATCAGGATTTACTTGTTGTCTTTTTGCTTCTGAAAGTCGATCGATTTCGCTAAGTATACGTTTGCTTGTGTCTAATAACGTTATAATGAAACGTAGTGTTGATACCTAACGTCATAATTGTGGATACATACAAGAATCTTTTTTTCCATCACCAGCAATACAAGTTCTTCTTTTTGATAATTCATTGTCTTCTATGATGTTTTATATATCTATAGCATTTTCAAGAAATAAAAATATTTTGAATTTATAGATATCTGATAAATCGCTGAATCGAGTCCGAGTATGAGATAATACTCGAAACCCGGACGAACCCGATGAGTTTGCACTCAGACCCATGCTTTAGGCTGGGTCCGGTACGAGATATCCGGCTGAGTACCAGGAAACTACATTAAAATAGTTTTGAATAGTATATTACTCAAATACTATGATAATATCACTAAAAATTATTTCTCTGACGATTTGCGAAATAGTTTAGACAGTTTTTTTTCAATACATTGCAATTCATTGGAGCAACTTTTCAAAAATGAAGATTTCAAAACATATAGCTACGTATTATGTTACTAAAGATCAAATTTTCTTTGATACATTTTAGGTGTATCCACTACATTTGAAGACCTTCCAAACGAATTATTTTACTATTTATTCGCTTTCATCGATATTCAATATTTATATAAAGCTTTTTGGGGACTCAATTCACGACTGAACAACACTTTTCAATCCTGTCAAGACTTATCTCTAACTTTCGATAAAAAAATTGATGCAGAGTTGATAAAATTATATATACCTTACGTCACTCGTTTGATAGTCCAGACGTCTATCGATTGTGATTTTAGTCAATTTCCTAATTTACATGAATTGATATTGTGTATTAGAAATTCAAAACAGATTGCACATGTTCAACCTAACGTCATTCCCAATCTGACTCATCTATCGTCTCTATTAGGGTCTAAATTCATTTTGCCACAGAACTTAACTTGGGCTGTGTTCTCCAACGAATTTCCATCTCTTCGTCACGTTAATTTGGGTTGCATCGATGAGTCTACTTGTGATTCATGGACTACATCACCTTCTCTTCAGTTTGTATCAATCCTTTGTTGTAAGCCAATGTCTATTCCAGTCATTCTTGCTGCATGTCCCAATCTTTATCATCTTCAAGTTCATGTTTCATATAACGGCAATGATCTTGTCACTTCATCTTCACCATTAAATCATCGACTTCGACGACTAACTCTTTGGAGTGATTATACCGAACTAGCTTTTAATCATATTGACAATCTTCTTACCTATACACCTAACATTGAATATTTGTATTTACAAACGATATATCCTAAGTCGTTTATCGATTTAGCTCATGGTTTGATCAATCGACTGCATTATTTATCACAATTCGTTTGTTATATCAAAGAAATGTTGACTAGAGATGATAGAATTCATAATTTAAGTATTTTACATCAAATTCATCGGTGCTTTAATCGAATTCGATCTATAGGAGAAAATGATGAATTTCGAATTTTAGCTACTAAATAGATATTCATTATTTTTTCAGAGGATTATATATATATTGTTTTAATAAGATAACAGATGGCAATTTTCAATAATCATTTCATTGATCTAACATAAAATCTTATGAAAACATTCATTTTTATTCTAATAATTTATTCACCGTTGATGAATTATTTATTCTTTTATTCATAAAATGATGCTAAATTGTGTGGATATGCAACTGTAGGTGAGCAAAGGGCCAGACATACAGAATCTCACCATATGGGTCATGAGATGCCTAATTCGACTTCGAATGTAAATGGAGCTTCGACTGCATGATATCACTTTGAAAAAAAGTAACAAAAAAAACGCACCAGCACTTGATTACAGCAAAAGCGAAAGATAAATTTTATCCTAATTATAAATTTATAATTCGTATTGAGATATTTATATGGCTGTGGATGTGGATGGGTGGGTGTGGGTGGTGGATGTGAGTGGGTATAGGTGGGTGTTGGTGTGGATGAAAAGAAGATGGCAACCCACCCATACACCCACATCCACTCACACCCTCAAAATTCTCTTGATTAACATGAAAGAATGATCCATTTCGACTCTTAACGAAAAGAAGTAAACCAAGGTTTAAGATATCCTATTCAACATCGATAGTTGGACCATGCCTTATACACGTGTCT